ACCCCTTGCCCCTTTCTTTTATCTAATTCAAAAGTATATAGTCTTTTTTCTAATAGAGAAATACTTTTTTCTGTTGCATTATTCCTTATAAACTCGTTCAATTTATATAGAATCTTTTATCTATGATACTTGTTAATTTCATTGGTATCGAGCTCCACCCCTTACCCCTTTCATTGGTATCGAGCTCCACCCGTTACCCCTTTCCTTCCTCCCTTCCTCTGTGTACTACTAGTAGAAGCATATGAATGAAGCACCATGAATGAAGCACCATGAAGAGAGGAGACAAAATAAAGATCTAAAGAAAACCTCCCCCCTCTGCACTCCGCCACCTGTGGGTTGTTAAGGCACGCGGGGATGTGGGGTAGGGGCGTGCAACCACGCTCAATGAGGCCAGCCTTGAGAGCCACCGTGACAGTGAAAAGGGAGCTGCAGGAACAAATAAAAGGGGTACCCCAAACAGAGCCAACTTGAAAGTGAAGACAGTTTAAGAAAGGGATATGATGGATCTATTCTACTCCGTGTCAATTGCTGTTACGGATGATGACAACACTCGGTGAAAGTCACAACTGAACAGTCTCGCACAGTCGTTAACGAACATGACAATACACACTGTGGCACAGTGATGCTGTTTTTGTGGAGGTGTGTAGTACACAGAAACAGAGACACCATGTCTTTGGTAGTCGTTGTTCAGTCGTATAGGTGCGGTCCGGGAGAGGACAGTCGCGCACAGGCCGGTGAAGCAGTCTGGGATAATCATGATGCTGTGCTTTCAGGGTTGTGGATACAGACAGAGAGACACCTGGGCGCTCTCCTTTCAGGCAGATATGTGTGAACAGGACCGGGACTTGAGTGGTAGGGCCGGTACTCACGGTCACCCCAACAATAGGAAATAAAATAGACACAAGGTAAAATCGTATATCAAAACGACTTCTGGCATCATCAAAAGGGATAGGGGTAAGAACTTCAATCTGATTTGCACAGCGCATGATGGCCAGTGGGTATTTAGAGAGGGGTGTTGTTTTTGTCTGTTACAGACTGGTTGTTTAGGTACCATTCTTATTGGGGTTGGAGTGACAGTCTGCTAGGATTGCAGGGTTGGTGTACGCAAGGTCATTATCCACTTTTCACTGGGATATGGCTTTCTCTCGGTGACGTGGCAAGATCTCATCCATCCGTCAAATGCATCCAGGCTGGGCACACTGTTGGGGTCCCACCTCTGGGCCTCGGTGGAGCGGTCTGTGACAATCATGCTCTGTTTTTGCTTTTTGGGGGGGATTTGTGTATAGTAAACATGACAACACATTCACATGATTGTGAAAGTCCGATGAAAGCAGTCTGTTGCAGGTACCTTTTTTTTGTGAGTTTGTGTTTAGTGAACACAGTATACACGCTCGCACAGAATTATAGACAATGTCATGCGCACACACTTCATAAATGTACCACCGCAAAAAAAAAAAAAGAAACTTTATAAATAAATAAAGAAATATCTCTCTGCAAGCTGGCAGGGGGGAAAGAACTGACAATGAAAAGGTGCCCATTGGGTATCTGACAGATATGTTCATTTGAGGGCGTTGGTTATACAAGGGTGATAACTCAACTAGGGTTAATGCAGCAGAGGCTACGAAGGGCATACAACCCTCGAAAGACATTAAGGGTAACTGACACTTTGAAGGCCAGTAAGGGCATACAACAGGGCTATGGAGGGGATACTATATCCTTCTCTGCTAGTATTAGCTCCACGGTCTCTGTTGCTATTATCAGTGGGGGGGGTTATACTGCTAGTATGCGCTACTAGACCCCCAAGGACCCGAACCCCACCGGCAGTGATGCCAGCGTGAGCAACTTGGAAGGTTTCCAAATGCCAGAGAACTCCCACGGATCTCTTCGTGATTTTTCACGAAGAGATCCGTTTGGCATCTTTCTTCCTGTCTGATCCCACGGATCTCTTCATTCTTTGAGGACTTCATCCGGTTGGCATCTTGCTTCCTGTCTGATGACGGTAGACGTGTCGTGGAAACTTCCTGCAGAGAAAGTTCTCCTTGGGAAAGTTTGGTATTTTATCGCTCGCTAGATCATTCATGCGTAGTGAGTTAAATATACTATTCTACTAAGTTGTGTGTCGTGGAAACTTCCTGTAGAGAAAGTTCTCCTTGGGAAAGTTTGGTATTTTATTGCTCGCTAGATTGTTCATACGTAGTTTGAGTTAAATATACTATTCTAGTAAGTTGTGTGATCGTCAATCAGTTGCTAGATTGTTCATGCATAATTCAAGCTATATGTACTATTGAAATATTCTAAGTTGTGTGATCATTGAAACTATGCTAAGTTGTGCGATCATCAAATCGGTTGTGCTATATACAGAAGAATGCCTTATCTGGGGATGGGTGTCAGGGCACACCCAAACTAGGACTTTTTTTCAGTTCTCTGTAGATGTTATTGGGGTCAGGTGCATCTAGGTAACAGTGGTCGTATACATCCAGTAAAGTCCAGTGTGAGTATGTTCTCAGAACGCAAACTATGACTTTGTTCAGTTCTCTCTGGACGTTACTGCGGGCATGTTCAGTTCTCTCTGGACGTTACTGCGGGCAGGTGCATCCAGGCTGGGTCAGAGCAACGGTCCTCAGAAGGGTGAGTTGTGTATAATACTTGATTGCTCATGTTGGGTAAAGTTTTACCTGACTGAGTATTAAGTATATATTATACGCTAGACTATGCTCAGAACTCGGCATATTTGCCGGCGCCGAGGGCGCCCTTGTCGGGTATGGATTTAATTCGAAGCACCTTGCCTTACTTCGCATATGGAAAGGTTCGACCCGAGTGGTGCATACATTTGCTGACCTGTGCAGATCCCCCCCTTCCTTGACTGTGCGCCCCTTGTGCTTTAAGGACACATGGAAGGGGGGGGGAAGGCAAGATGGAAAAGCACCACATTTCTGCAAAGCAGGTAGACCCAGTAACAGCACATTGACACGTTACAAAAGAAGATCACAGATTTAGCCATTCTCGCAAAGAGGTGTACAGGTAAGGAGGGCTCTTGGCCGAGCTGGAACCGCCCAGGGGGGAGCACCCTGTGCTGCTAAATTTTAGGGGCACTGCCAGTACCTTTACCCTATGTGGACTGCGGGCCCTGCGCGCCAACCATTTGCGATGTATCTGGCTGGCGCGTGCCTGGGGAAGGCCTCTGTGTTATCCGGTAGGCGATTTTTATTCTGCCTGGGCAAGGGACTGGCGGCTTTTTTCTTTGAGCCACCAGTTGTTGAGGGACTTTTCTATGAAAGCAGGAAATGCACTGCGCTCCAAAAGAGAAACTGGAGCAGTGGAGCTTTCTTTTGGAGGGTGCTGCCAACCATTTTTTCCGGTACGCAGGGCCGAAAAAGTGTGGACAGCTAACATGAAGGGGCTGGGGCCGATGTACCTAAGTACTGCCCCGGGCCTGAAATTGCCCTGCACGCCGCAGAAATATGTTTCGACATGGATGCACCTGCCTGGCGGAAACAAGGTACGTACCTTGTATTCAATTTACCTCCAAAAAACAGGTTCTAAGAAATTGCTGTTAAATTTTAATAGAAGGTACCTTCGAATACAAGGTACGTTACGTACCTTGTATTCGAATACAAGGTACGTAACGTACCTTGTATTCGAATACAAGATACGGATATTGTATTCGAGGTGCACCTTGTACTGTTACATCTCTCTCTCTCTCTCTCTCTCTCTCTCTCTCTCTCTCTCTCTCTCTCTCTCTCTCTCTCTCTCTCTCTCTCTCTCTCTCTGGTGTGCACTGTCAATGCACGTGCCTGCTTTCACGCACGGGCACTATGCCCTCTCTTTCTTTCTCACATGCGCACACAAACATGTAACGTTCGAATGCATGGTGCGCCTTGTACTGTGACATCTCTCTCT